GGGCTGACCTAACATTACGATAACAGTCACATGAATATTCTATGCTTTCACACTTCATTATCATAACTTATAATAACGGGCTAAGGATGTTTACGTGACTTTGTGTGTGTGTGAGTGTGTGTGTTACGAAATTCGTAGAGCGTGTTCCAGCCAACCTCCTGGGCTCAAATTTTGCACAGCGCATGCTCCTCGCATGAAAGTCCAACATGCAAAAGCACGAGCAGATTCGTTGAGTGGATCACTCAGAAACTGCGCGTCAAACGGATCCATTTTGCATTTGGGCCGCATTAATGGGTCCGTAATTCCACGTTTTGCAAAGTAGTGGATGTTTATACCAAATAAAAGCGCAAACCATGAAATTAGACCCAAAAAGGTGATCAAAAGTCCATTACTTTAGAAAAACGGCGCCAAAAAGTATTGGTTGCATAAATGGTCAATTTGCCAAGGTTTTACCAGAGCATTTGACGAGATTTTTGCACAAAGATCTAGCTCACGGTGACTGCTGTCCTTACTGCAACTGTCAAGACCATGGGAAAATCAAAAACCTGTAAAAATTTGCGTTTGTTCTCCTGCAAAAATTCTCATCCATGCGAAATCACCGATTTCACATAAAAAGCTTTTGGAATGAGTAGTTGTTTACATTTTGTTCGTGACAATCGGCATTGCTCGGTGAGTTCCAATGCCATCATTATGCGAGAATGAGTAGGGCCTAGATAGTAGAGCCAGTGCGAGCCTCTGCGAAGCAGAGGTGACGCACTGGTACATCAAAAAATGCCATTTGTTATCGATAACTATGCATCGAAAACATCTTCAAGAATAGAATTCACATAATATCCGGGCCTTCGCTTCTCAAGACTTCTATGGGTCTGCTTTAAGTCAAATTCGTATGTACAGCTTTCTGGGGAAAGCAAACTTTGGCTAGACTTGCACTGCAATCAGTGAAGCAAAATGCTTATCTCGTAGGAAACCTTGCCCTACAACCCACCAGCAGAATGCAGGTGCACCAGCACTTAAGAGATGATGCCGTGATGCCAGTAAGTCGATGGGTATGCCAATTGCGCAGGAAAAAGTCCATAACTCGCTTCGGAATGGCAGCTAGGAATAGCATATTCGGGATCAGCGTTCGAAGCTGACTTAGAATATATGTGTCCCTTGCCGAAAGGCCGAGCTAACGTAGCTAACTTAACTAACTTCCCTTGTAAGTTGCAAACTCAAAGCGACTTCATTTTCTAATAGAAAACCATAACTCTCGAATCCCGATTTTGGTATTTTCGTTTTTGAATCGTGTAACTGATAATAATCACATGCACTTCTATTTTAATGCTTAAAGGCGGTGGCTCGGGAAAATTGCGACTTCGAGCCGTCCACAGCGGGTGTAGGCCCTTTTGAACCCTTCGCGCGCGATGCCTCTTTCGCCGCGTGCGGCGCAGCTGGCAAAGCTAACAAGTCGCATTCACAGTCAACGGGAAAATCCTTAGTTTGAAGCATGTAATACACGTGTGCCAAAACTTATCATCATGTTGGACACGAACGATGTAGAAAAATATTGCTTCGTCTTGCTCATAGCCTTGTCAATGGTAGTGGACATGTTGACCAATCAGAGGCGCGCCGTAGCGAGCGGTTCAAAAGGGCCGTTTCCCCGTACCTGTTGTCCTTCTGAATGCGCTGAGTCCAGTGCTGTGCTTAAAAGTCAACAAAGTACTTTTTACGGCGTTTTCCTCTCTGGAGATAGCTGGAAGAAACGGCCCTTTTGAACCGCTCGCCATCACGGCGCGCCTCTGATTGGTCAACATGTTCACTACCATTGACAAGGCTATGAGCAGGACGAAGCATCATTTTTCTACATCGTTCGTGTCCAACATGATGATAGGTTTTGGCACACGTATATTACATGCTTCAAACTAAGGATTTTCCCGTCGACTGTGAATGCGACTTGTTAGCTTTGCCAGCGGCGCCGCACGCGGCGAAAGAGGCATCGCGCGAAGGGTTCAAAAGGGCCTACACCCGATAGCTGGAGGGGATGGGCGAAGGATTCCCGCCAACATCGCAATTGGCTGCCTGAGCCGATCAGTCAGTCACCGTCTATCAATTATCCGAGTTATGTCTCCTGCAGCCAGTTGCTGTTTACGGCGGGAATCCCTCGCCCATTCCCTCCGATTATCTCCAAGGTGGGGGGGGGGGAGGGGGGGGGGAACTCCGTAAAAAGCACTTTTTTGACTTCTCAAGCACAACACTAGGCTCCACATCCAGAAGGTCATGTGGGTGTGAAAAGCTCGCAGTCGCAATTTTCCGGGGCTACTCCTTTGAAATTTTCTCTCACAATGTAACAAGGCGTCATGTTATAACTTGAATCTAGGTCTTCTCTCCACTTTAATTTTGTTTTGTACAGTTAATCTCCACATGCTTCGTTACGTCTAAATACATCGAAGTCAAATTGTACCTGATGATCTGAAAATTTATGGGATCCATGGGACGGGGAACCTCTTCAGGTGAGGCAGTGCAAGCATCATTATGTAGACGACAACTTGCAATGGGTCTTTCCTTGGGGCTTGCCGTTCGACCAAAACATCCTCCTCTATGCACTTTGCCGGTGGTCAAAAGCAGTTACGAGGGGAGTGGTGTGGACTTAAGAAATAATTTTCATCCGCTGTCTCTGCGTTTTTTTTTGATAAGCCTATTTCACTGAGCTTTTAGACATGATAGTAACCACAGCCTTCAGTCCTGTTTTCTTTAAACTCCAAAATGTACACGGATAATCCTAGGATTCTCTTACAACTTTACACATCTTTTGTGTTCAAACTTGAATGCCGCTCGTAGCTGTGGTCGAGTAGACATATCAAAAAATTTTAAAGGACAAAGAAGTTCCACCAGAATTGTAATGAAGAGATGCGCTCATGACTGTACCGACCTGATTTATCATGAGTGCTTGAGAAAGCTGGAACTGTCCCTTGCTCACAAAAGAGTAAAATTATCTTTTGATTTGCCTCAGAGTTTTGAAACTAGAAGTCAAGCTGAATCCCAGCACTTAAAAAATCCTTATGCCCACATGGATACTGAGGAGTCGACTTGCATTACCCAAACGTAGGGGGAGGGGGGAGGGAACAAGCAAAATTGTTTGTCTCAAATTTTCTGTCTAGGGGTTATATGATTACGGTGCATACCTTACGAAGTTTTGAGTGCTGGCAACTGTCAACTTTCAAAAGAAAATTGAGGGTAGTTGCCATTTGCCAATTACTCAATATTTCTGTACGACTTGCTTCTGGTCTGTATTCATTACTAGCTGGCGGTCCCGGTTTCACTCGGGACTCAAGGTTAGCTAAGAAGAAGTTACTAACACTTACGCTTTTGAGCTCCTCCTGCGCAAAAAGGGCAGTGAAACGAATTGCCGCATCTCCCCGACATTGAGAGAAAAATGAACTTTATTATCCCGTGTTGCCATGGTCATGGCAAAATGAATGGTTGAGCATGTCAAGCCTTATTTTCCCAGATGTAAGTAAACAAATCAACAAATCAATAGAAGGGTCCAGTAAATCGCCGTGAAAAGTAGCCTATGTTCTGCGCCGGGGTCGAAAACATAAGTGTGCAAAGTTTCAGCTCATTTGGTCCACTCAGAAAGATCTGTATAAAAAACATACTTATTAACAGACAAACACACTTTGAGTTTTATATATTTATAGATAGATAGGCATGCTGGTCTATCTCTCTGCTGAGCCTCTAATTGATTGATTGTTGATTGTTTTGTTTGATTGTACTGATTGACTAGGTATATTTCTGACTTTGATTTTATATTATTCTTCGTAAAATTAGTCATTTTTCAACATGTTCACTAACTAGGGCTAGGTTCCTATATTTGGGCAAGAGCAGTACGTCATTTACATAGACAGTTGCGTTCAAAAAGCGCATGACATTCTTAAAATAGGGAAAACAAATTCAGTCAGCGGTGTCAGGTTTTTGGAACTTGATATGAGCCAATCGTCGGCGTTTTTGGACAGTCCATAAAAGTGGCAGTGGCTTCTTCATTACCGATTGCCTCACCCTTTTTAGCCACATACAACTTTCTCTTTCTCACATCTGAAACGGTTTCATGTACTGTTCGTTTCTACTATCCGGGTGAAGGTGGTAGGCTAGACTGTTCTACATACGTTAGCAATGTTTTTCAGTCCTAGATTTGTGACACGCTTACATGCGTCAGATAAATATAAGGATGAAGGTGGGTTCCGTTGATCATCGGTTTCTAAAGTCTTTGCAAAATGTAGAACTAACAAAGGATGGATACCAACTCCAGTTGGAAATTGAAAACGAGCCTTATATCATTAGACTCGCCTTCGAAAGCTCCAGCTCCGCTTTTCTCTTTTGCGGAACAACTCTTATAACTTACGAGCGCTTAAATGTCCGTATTCAGCGAGTTCAAAATGGCATATTAGCAAACTCTACAAAAAAATCTGAAAGTGGGTAAACAATTTTGTATCAAGTATATGAACATAGAAGTACAACCGATGGATATCCGCACATGTGTTTTTATAAAGCTTTTAGCTAAATTTATTCCTCTTGAAGCTTGACTATTTTGGACATAACACTCATAGCTTCGTTCGGAAAGTAATTCCGCAAAAAAGAAAAGCGGATCTCAGCGTTCAAATATGCGTGAAGTGATGTACTTCTCGTCTCTAATCGCCAACTCAGGTTGGTATCCTTCCCTTATAAGTAACCCCACCAAAGGGTCTCACAAATCAAATTGCTACGTGCTAGTGTAAACAAGTAAACAACAAAAAGATTCTGACCACAAGCATTATGCTCACTCGAAATAGAATGAGTTTAGGATAGTCTCGTTCGCAAGATAAGATCCTTGTTTGGTTTGAGTATGCCACACATACAACTCTCGAGGCTGAAATTATCAAACTAGGAAAAAAAATCCAAGAGTTAAAAGCGAAATCAAAAACTCGCCTCTCTTTGATCAAAACCAAACGGCTCAATATCCTCCTGAGTAAACCCCATGTCTTCCAACAAGCAAGGCTCGGGTGCACCAAGCCCTTTCCTACATGTTTTACCAAATACAGCAGTCGTGCTAGAACATGGTCTCATTTTCAATTTTCAACAGACATTTTTTGAAGAGCTGTATGAAGGAACAGCAATGATTTACGTTCGATTTTAGTCACAAAATTGAGAAAGCTCTTCTATCAAAACAATAAGGCCATTCAGTGATCATTTCGGGGCGCATAGTTCAAACGAAATTCGATAACTCTTCTTATTTTTCGCCAAAAGAATGCAGTAAAATGAAATTTTTAACGAATTTTTTGTTTTTGCATTTCCATGCGAGATCAAAGCTTGCCTCAGAACTTATTTATCAATAGCATACAAGAAATTTTTGTCGGTTTTTTAAAGCCTAGCTCGGCGACCCTGCGAGATAAAACTTTATTTTGAAGAGCTTCTCTCCTTGCTAGCTCGATAGAAGTTGAACGTCATAAAGCGCAAACCTTTTTCTATTCTAAATCAAGAGTTTGAGTTCGCGTAAAAATGTGAAAAGTTCTCGAGTCTTATTCGTGAGGTCAAAGTAAGAAAACTTTGCTGGCGAACAATTATGACATGGATTGCTTCATGTTTGTCTCATTAACTACAAATATCAGGTTATCCAAAGTAAACTCTATTGCAAATAACTTGAGGTGTTTTTGCTTTCCTAACGGACTTAGGATACCATTCGATAGCGCGGAGCAAGTTCTACAAAAAGACCACAAAGGATAAATTTGAAGCCAAAAATCATAATTTTTCAGCTATTCAAAAAATCGCCCTTCCAGAAAGTTCCTACTGATATCCAGCTTGACCTTTATACATATAATAGACACATAGTAGTCCACAAAAATGTATTTGGTGGATTTTTTCAGGGGACTGAGAAACAAAGATGGTCCGAAAATGCCAAAATGCCATTTTTTCGGGTTTCATGTAAAACCTGGTATTTCTTGATTACAAGAGCACATACAGGGATAAAATTTTGATATAATACTTAGTAAGTAGTATATACGATGGCATATGTGGGAGGGACTGGGGGCAGAGTTTGACTTTTGAACTATCTTTTTCTTCTCGTTTTCTATGGCGGAAAAAAATTGAATAGAAGATATTTGAGTACGAGTATATGCTTGCTGTATAATGAGTTGAAGATCCGCAGGGTCTTTCCTCGCAAAAATCTACTTTTCAGATGACGGAATTTTTCCGATTGGCTCCGAACTTTACATGGTATGCGTTAGGCAGACCCTTGGTGGTTATTTTTTAGAGCTTGATCTGCTCTGCCGAAGGACACTCTAAGTCTACTAGGAAAGTGAAATCAGCTTGAATTATTTTGAAAAGGATTTTTGGGACAACCTAATACATATAAGCATGCTTTTTCCATTCAGCTCCGAATTTTTTTTGATAACCTTAGCCAGTAGCATTGCAATTCACCTCAATTCATCACGTGTCAGAAACAGAGAGGAAGCACTAGAATAATGAGATTTTTATCCTATTTTATTTCTATTCTCTTTCACTTGCAGGGAATGCACAACTTTCCAAATATGACTTGAATGACGCTTCACACAGCCTTTCTCTTACTTTAAGGCATCTTACAATGAAAATGCCACTTACTTAAGTACGACATCGAGATTTATGGCGAATCCTGCCATATCAACTGCAAATTTCCGCTTTGCTCCCCATCTGACTCGATAACCAACTACTGTTCCGTTGACCACATCAGGAGATTCTACTGCACTTCCACCAACAAGACCTACACCAAAAATTCATTCTAGAGCTTTCCAGGGAAAAATTAGTGGTGCACTGTAAAAGCTTACCAACGGCCCACATGCCCAGTCGTCTTACGTGTCTGATATATTCGGTAAATAACCTCGTATCGTAAGAGTTGTCGTCGTCTCCAAAATACACAACACCCTCTTTATATGGGCCTAATATCGCTGCACTGTCGTTTCTCAATAACTGCAAAGCGCTGGTTCTTTGATACCACCCTCTGCCTGGAATTTTTTTTCTTATTTTCATAAATTCAAACAAGAATCAGATCATTCTTACGTGGGTAGCCCTTCGGAGTTTTTGCAGCGAAATAAGTATAATTATGATATGATCTTTGCAATATATGTTCCACAAAAGGTACAGTATCACTGCCATCTTCTATGACAATCCAGTGAACATGAGGGACTAATCTAAGAGTGTTTGAAAACCTGCAATAGATCAATATTACTTTGAGTGAATGAGTTGGAAGTGTGCCAACTTTTGAGACCTTGTCATATCCGCTAATCGAGTAGGTCGCTTGTAAGTAGGTGTAATTACAATTATAAGTGGTTCTAGAGCATCTACATTCCTTTCCACATAAATTCTCACCAACCTAAATACAAAAGATGCAATATTTTCTTGTGGTGTTCCAAAAGTAAGAACACACTTTTTGATCGTCAATAACTCTCTTTTCGAAAGTCTTCTGCTTAGCTTCAATTACTTCAATAGACTAGACCTTCAACTCAGATTTGTAGTCTAGTCTCTTCGTTACTGCAAGATTACGGTAGGAACTTCAAACAAAGTCATTGTAATGCAGGCTGTTTGAAAAAATTCCGAAAAAGATGTGGAAAGCTATGTAGCAGTGTTTTCAAATATGCTGACTTCACTAGAGGACTTTCTAGGATTTTTTTAGCGCTTCAAATGATCAATCTTTGAAAAACGCTGAAAAAACCTTGTTGCGGATTATCTGGTATAATTCATAGGAAAAAGCCTTACGATGAAGTGCGGATTTCATGATCAGCAACTCAGTTCAGCCTTATGATGAAGTTTTCGGTTTGTTGTATGCCCATTTTGGGGCAAGATAGTCACTGATGGCTCAAAACCCTCATTGAAGCCACCTTAATCCTACAACAAAGAAAAATGAGGAGTGATTTGCCCCATAGAAATTTAGCTGACGCTCTACGAATGGTACTTGGTGCTGAGCAAAAGAATTCGTGGGAAAAGAGTCATTAACGATTTAAAAGAGTATATATACTTCTGAGACGCCTTGCATTCTTTATACATATGATATACATATTCTCACCTGTTACTCGTTGACGAAAGTATGGTAAGGAAAGCTACAATCATTGTGATGCATAGTGCCAGAGGTAATGAAAGTCTTCTTATAGAGCGGGGTATGGTAAGCATTCCAGAAAACCCGATCTATAACGAAAAGTTGAAATATCGGACTTTTGAAAAAAGTACTTACTCGTTGCTTGTAAATCACATTCAGCTAAGCAGTTCCATGAGTAGCTGGTGTTCAGCTGTTTTGACGAAATGCCCACTTTGCAAAATGCTCACTCACTTTGCAAGCGATGAAGTGGACAACAGATCTGAAATATCAAACAGTGTGTACTGTAAGAAATTTACGATCTCCCTAGAAACTTGTACGACATTGCAATCGAAAGTTGATGAAAATAATCTTGTGTCTGTCCACATGCAGTGATATGATCGTATGCAGAGTATCTCAAGTTTTTTTTACACTTGGACGAGTTCCTTTAACCTTGTTTCAATAGAGTGGAGAAAAATTATTTTTGTTTTTGACCCAAGATGATGTATCAGCTAGAAAACTTGATTTTTTTCGTAATTAATACATATATTTTTAGAAAGAGAAAGCGCTGTTCGCAGTCAGCCTTGGTGATTTTACTAATAGGGCAGGTCAGCTTGTACAAGTGGCGGTTTTGATGGTAAAAGAAGTACGAAAAGCTGTGCTTTGGATTACCAGCTTGAAGACCGAAGTTATTATGTGTCTGCATCTCCGCTCAATTCAATGGTAGAGAACATACATGCGGTCAGCTTACAGGATAAAAATCAAATAATATAAAGAAGGATTCCTGCTATAGTCAAATTTCTGCAGTAGAGGATATTTAACTTTTGAGTGTAAGTAGCCTAAACAGCCAATTTTGCTACTTCTCTCGTAGTGGTCGCACTGCTACAAAAGATTTGCAAACATATTTTTTTACTGTAATAATAACTTTTAGGTTGGTAATGTGAAGCCTCGGACAGGGTTCACGCGATTTGATCGTCGCGATTTAATCGCCACGATTTTCATTCATTTTCATTTTACATTCAAAAAATTTCGCACTGGAAAAATATCACAACCGAAATGCAAGCTGGTCGGCATGCAGTGAACTCGTCACAGTTGTCCTGTAGCGATTGAATCGCGACGATCAAATCGCGTGAACTCTGCCCGAGGCCTGAAGAGACAGCACTTGTCAAAATCAGCACTTAGAAGGAAGTTGATATCTTATGCGGTTATTTATTTATTTATTTATTTATTCTTACGCTCTAAGGCGTGCTACAAAGTAAGACTAAAGGAGCAGTTGAGATACACATATTCTTTAAAGAAATACAAAGTATATACATAAATAAAATCATACTCAATTCAGGTCCAGTTATAAGTTAATAGAAATTACAAGCACTAAGGTTTTGCCCAAGCAGACACTACCAGGAAATATAATTCGACGGAGTTTGTACCCATGCCCTCCTCGCTTGCCAGCAAAAACGACCTTGGGAATTCAGTAGGAGTATGCCGGAAGTTCGGAAAGCGAGTATACTGGCCGCCTCGCTCATCCGACATGCTGGAGGAGAGTGCCAAACTCTACAAAATGTTACAATCTAAGAAAGAAAAAAAAACTTCGGGCAAGTCATTTTGAGCTGACCTTGTGCAAATGTGTTTGAAAAAAAAACCAGACCCAAACCAGTTACGTAATAAGGTGGGTAATAGCCTACAAAGTAGGCTTATTGATGGGAGGGAGGGGATAAGATGCTGTTATCTTGAAAACTTGCATCTCTATTTGGAGGACTTTTTTTTAAGAGGTAAATTTTCGGATGTAGAAGGAGGCTAGATGTTTCGCTGAGTGGATGGTAATCAGAGCCATATATAGAGCATAATGACGTTGGACAGCTGATATCATGAAGACAACGGGAATCTGAAAAGAATTCTTTTAGAACGATAGTAGATGGTGAATTATGGAAAGTTATCAGTTCTGAATAGATGGTTGCTCCAAGAGTAGAATCACTTTCTCTATCTTCTCATTTTACTCCATTTTCATTTCTCTAAATATAACAAATATAGAGAGGCTATCTTAAAAGAATTAGATATGATTATAATTTAGTAATTTAGGTAAGTCTGCCATCATCAATTTTTTCTTGAAGGTTTCACCATTGCCTGCGGAAATAATTTCAGCAGGCAATCGTTGAAACCATCTCGCACATCGATAAAATAAGTAATTGAAGAGACCAGATCGATGATTTCTAATAGGTTTGTAGTGAAGATTGAATCCCCCTAATCTATCCCCTGTAGGCATGAAAATCCAGAATTTACTTGCTCTTAGTTTGACTTCTAAACGAAGTATTCGAAAGCAAAAGACTAAGTCAGCTATAGTGCGTCTTGTTATTAGAGCGGTTAAACACAATGCCTTGTTTCGAACACTATAGCTTGGAATTCCGTTTTGTATTTTTTCCGTTGTATTTCGATAATAAATTAGTCTAGTGAAGGTATGCTGAACTTTTTCAATTTTCGAAATATTCTTTTTCTTGGAGGGACTCCAAACTTCAGAACAGTATTCTAATTGTGGAAGAACGTATGCTTGATAGAGTCTTGTCAAAATTATCTTATTGGGGGTATGTATGTTTCGGAAAATCATGAATAGTGTCGAATACGCTTTCTTGACAATAAAATCGATGTGTTCAGAAAAATTCAGTTTAGAATCAACAATAATTCCCAGGTTTTTTACTGTTTGGCAAGTGTTTAATTCAACCTCATTGACTAGATAAACAGCTGGAGTAATTCTACCAAGGTGAAGAAAAGAGCATTTTTTCGGATTAAAAGAGAGTCCGTTTTGCGATGCCCAAGTACACATTTTATCAATGGACAATTGCAGTTCGTCATGAATTTTTCTGAAATTATGCTCATCATACGCTGCATAGATTTTTATATCATCGGCGTAGATTTGGAGACTTATGTTATCTGATTTCAATAAACTAGGCAATTCTAAAGTGAAAATCAAAAATAGTAGGGGAGATAAAACAGCCCCTTGGGGAACTCCACTAGGGCAGGAGAATCTATTAGAAAAAGCTTGTCCAACTTTTACAGTCATATTTCTACCATTTAGGTAAGATCCAAACCAACTCAAAAGATTTCCTGATATCCCGATATTTTTTAGCTTGAAAAGAAGGATATTGTGCGGAATTTTGTCAAAAGCTTTCGAAAGGTCGAAATATATAATATCAACAGATTTCCCTGAATTCAGTGCTAGCCTCCATTCAAAAATAGTTTCGATAAGATTAGTTGCAGTAGATCTGCCTGGTATGAATCCATGGTGCTCAGGTGATATAAGGTGGAATTTCTCCAGCCAAGATAATAATTTATTCCTTATTATCTTTTCCATGATCTTGATTGCTATACAATTATGACTAATCGGTCGAAAATCGGTGGTATATTCGGGTTTTGAAGTTTTTGGAATGGCAGTGACTATAGCCTCTTTCCACAATGCGGGAATCTCAGAATAATACATAGAAATATTGAATAAATCAGCAAGAGGTTTAGAAAGATTATCTGCGCATTTCTTATATAAAATCTGAGGAATGCCATCAATTGGTTCCATGCAAGAAGGCTTCAAAGACAAAATGATCCGATGAATATCGGAAGGATGAAAATAGACAGTACTAAGGCTATTCTTACCAGAATGTTCATCTACTGAAAAATCTCTCGAAGGTGAATTTTCCTCAAATACACTGGCGAAATATGTACCCAATGCATTGGCTTTTGCAGTATCATTACAAAAGCTTGAACCTGATTGGTCTTTGAGAAAGTGAATATCATTTCTTTTATGAAACTTTTGATGGATGTATTTGAATACATTCTTCATAGATGCTTTTGATGCGAGACGACGTTCATAATTATCTAAAAATTTCTTGAGATGAAATTCGATATCGGAGCAGACCTTCTTGTAAGTGGGGTTTGTAAGAGGAGTTTCCAACGTATGGAATAAACGATATTTTTGCTCCATCAGAGAATTGATGTGATTCGGATAACGAAAGTCACTTGTCACTTTCATTTTCATGGATCCAAAAAGGGACATGCCTTTGTAAATAATGTAACAGAACCTAAGGTACAAATCATCTGTTGACCGATAGTTTTCGTAAGTTGAAATCCAGTCAGTATTCGATAAGTAATTATTGAGTCCATTATAATCAAAATTCGGAAAATCAGGGATAGGGTAGGAGGGATCTGACAAAGCTTCATGATTGTAAGTAAATGCGATGATATTATGGTCAGAGGATGCAAAGGGTGGATAAATCTCGATATTACTGATATCATCAGATGGTGACAGAATCAGGTCAAGAATATTATTTGCATGAGTGTCTTGTTGAACTCTCTGTTTAAGTCCTACGTTACGAAAAAGGTCAAGAAATGGTTTGGATTCAGGCTTGAGAGCACTTTGGGTAATCCAATCAATGTGCAGATTAAAATCGCCAACTACAACTGTGTTTTTTGCAGCAGATAACAAGCCAGTCAAAACATCTATTACTTGTCCATTATCATCTCGAGTAGATTTTGGTGGACGGTAGACAACAATGAACCTGACAGGATTTGATCTTGATCTTGATAAAATAAGCAATTCGAGCGAAAGTAAGTCGCATTTTGCTGTTGAGAGTCTGTCTACGTGTTTTACAAAAATGTTATCTTTAACAAGACAGCAGACACCACCCCCCTTTTGGGTTTGCCTGTCATTGCGGTATATAGAGTATGGCAAGTTTCCAATCAATTCGGAATCAACTATTTTCGATTTCAACCAAGTTTCAGTCAAAAAGACAAGATCAGGTTTATCATGGGTCAAAAGAAATTGTAGGTGGTGTATTTTATTAGTTATACTTCGAGCATTGAACAGGAAACATTTGAGCGAGGATGGACAACCGTGCATGTTCAGTGGTTTCCCGAACGTCTGTTGGGAAGCTCCGAGATATGCTTGAGTTGGCCGCGATATACGACCCACTCTCTTTCAGATTTCCCAGCATTACGTTCTCTCGCTTGTTGCCTAAGTTCGTATTCGGCCCTTCTTTCCTCACTGGTCATGCTTCTGCGAATAAATACTTGCGAGAAGTTGGACGATCGAAGGAAACGTGCATTGGCTAAGGCCCTTTGCCAGTAAAAAGTTGACGGTAGGGTAACCTTAACCAATCTAGGCCGTTCGGCATTTAGTTTGCCGATGCGATATACGTCACTTGGGCAACATTCTACGTCAACAATGTCCAAAATCTTCTCCACTTTGTCCTTGAGGTCTCTTGCTTTTTCGGATGCACAGCATTCTTTAGGTGACTCCGGAATACCGCTAAGAACTAGGGTCCGCGACCGTTTCTCAGCCTCCACGTGCTCAGCGACTTCAATATGAAGCCTCTGAGAAAGGAGGCCGAGAAGACGATCTATAGCAGGA